TGGAGCCTGTCCTGAAACTTGCTCCGTAGCCCAGGCTGGCCTTGAACTCACAGAGATCCGCCTGCCTCTGCCTCCCGAGTGCTGGGATTAAAGGCATGCGTCACCACCGCCCGGCCATTCTCAGGTTTCTAGACCCCTGGACTGTGAGAGAATAGTTTTCCCATGGTTCATTTCAGCAGCTCTGTGGCATTCACACATGAAGCAAACACTTAGGAGTCCTGGTGGTGCTTGGAGAGATGTCCCAGTTGAGCAAAACCCAACTTAGCACTTGCTAGTAGAGAGTTCCTCTCTGGGCCTCAGCTTCCTCATTTGTAAATTGGAGAGAGAAGTGCCTGCCTCACAGAACTGCTGATAACGTTGACCAGAAACTGGATGCAGAGATGCAGAGAACCCGTGTACAGCGTAGGCTCGGTGAGTGCTAGTGTTCCCACACAGCATCACCTGTTCTTCAGAACTAATGATTAATAGCCTTGAGAGGAAGTGTCCTCATCAGAGGTGTACCATTCAGAACTGTACTTTGACCAGACACTGGAGGTGGCAGAGCAAGAGACAGCCCAGTCCTCATGATTCACTGCAAACCGAAGCCAGGCTGTTCAAAATGAAAGTGGTCACCTTCCTCCTGAAATCAGCTCCTTCTCATTTCCCTCTTCTTATTTCCAGATAATTGTCCTTGGAACAGATTAATTTTGTTTGTAGACATATTAAAAATTAGTTCTCTGCCGGGCAGTGGTGGCTCACGCCTTTTATCCTAGCACTCGGGAGACAGAGGCAAGCAGATAGATCTCTGTGAGTTTGAGCACAGCCTGGACTACAGAATGAGTTCCAGAAAAGGCACCAAAACTACACGGAGAAACCCTGTCTCGAAAAACAAAACAAAACAAAACAAAACAAACAAACAAACAAACAAAAAAAAAAAAAAACAACCAAGGCTGGTGAGATGGCTCAGCAGGTAAAGGCACTTGCAGCCAATTCTGACAACCCATGCTCAGTCCCTAGAATCCATGTGGTAGAGCTGACTCCTACCAGGTATTCTCTGACCTCCACACGTGCATCACAGCACACAAGTGTGTGTGAATAAACAAACAAATAAATAAATATAACTTTAAAGAAGACTAAACAAAAATTTCATGACTTTGAACTTTGCAAAATTTTGCCCATTTTTGAGATAGGGTTTCTCTGTGTAATCCTGGCTGTCCTGAAGCTCTCTCCGTAGACCAGGCTGGCCTCAGACCCAGAGTTCTGCCTACCTCTGCCTCCTGAATGCTGTAGTTAAAGGGGTGTACCACCACCACCTGGAAAGAACATTTCTTAAAACATAAAAAGAATAAGACTTGAAGACAAAATATACTGGATTTCATTAAAGCTAAATGTCTGCTCACTGGAATATACCATTGTGAGGTGCCGTGTGGGTGCTGGGAAAAGTAGGTGCTTCTAGGTACTAAGCCATCTCTCCAGCCCACAGCAGAAGATGAATCCTGTTGTTGTTTGTTTGTTTGTTTGTTTGTTTGTTTGTTTGTTTGAGGCAGGATTTCTCTATATAACAGCCCTAGCTGTCCTGGAACTCACTCTGAACTTTTCAAAGATCTGCCTTCCTCTGCCCCCTAAATGCTGGGATTAAAGGTGTGTTGCCACCACTGTCTGGCATGCAATGAATCTTAAAAATATGACACATAAAAATTTAAAAGGATGTAAAATGGTATGAAAACTATGGTTTGGATCTCATCAAGTTATATGTGGAAAACCAGAAGAAAACTCCCTCCTTCCCTCCGTCTCTCTCTTTCTCTCTCTTTCTCTCTCTCTCTCTCTCTCTCTCTCTCTCTCTCTCTCTCTCTCTCTCACACACACACACACACACACACACACACACACACACACACACACACACGATTCACAGCTCAAACTGATGCATCGGTGAAAACCTGCCAAGGCAAAGTGGATTCAAACTCCAGTACCAGTGCTGTACCCACTCAGGATGCTTCATCTTCCTCATGTGACCTGTAACTAAATGTAACCAGTCAATGCAACTGTCTCTGGGCTACAGTTGCCTTGTTCACCAAATGGGTTTAAAAGTAGTCTCTATCTGGAGGTTGTGGCAAAGATAAAATGAAATTGTACACATTGGCGTTCTGATACAATGCAATCCATGGACCGTCAGGGGCAATGATGTTTTCTGTCATTCTGTTTTCCAAGTTCCCTGTAATTAGAGTTTCCTTGAAACTTCTAAGACTCTTCATTTTTTACATTTTTCAAGGGGTCATGCTCTATTCCCCAGGGATCTCGAGCCTGTTCCTGGGAACGTAATGGAAAGCTTTCTTCCAGGCCTGCAGTGGTTCATCTCAGCCGGACAGCAATGATCTTCGACCAGGGCTGGATGTTTGTGTCCTGAGGAGCCCTGGGAGTTTTGTTTACAGAGGACATTCTGTCCCGAGGTCCTGGCTTCTCCATCATCCGAGCAGCTGCTGTCTGGAGTGAGCACCCCAGAGAGGCTGCCCCAACCCACCCCCAAGTTCTGGTCTCAGTCATCAGCAATGACCTAGGGCATGACAGCCTCTAGCTTAGTCCTCATCCCTTGGGAACAGCTTCTCATTTCTTTTCTTCTTTTCTCTGACCCACCCCCCTTTCCTTTCCTTTCTTTTAAAAACATTTTAGGTTTATTTATATGTATGAATGTTATCCCTTCACACATGTTATGTGTACCACATGTATGCCTAGTGTCAGTGGAGGCCAAAAGAGGGTGTCGGATCCCTGGACTGGAGTTAAGAGCAGTTGTGAGTTGCTGTATGGGTGCTGGGAACCAAATCCACGTCCTTTGCCAGAGCAGCAAGTTCTCTTGACCCCTGAGCCACACCCCATCCCCCCCCCACCCCGCCTCCTTTCCTTTCTGCCAGCATTGGGTATTGAACTTAGGGTCTCAAGTGGACTAGGCAAATGCCCTTCCTATATACATATTTTTTTTTTATTTAAGAGTTATTTTTGTCCTGGGTTTTTCAGCACCACAAGCACAGCGCAGCTGCTCAGCTGTGTCTGGGACATCAGGGCCAAGAGCAAGTGGCTGGTTCTATGCTCAGTGTTCAGAAGCCAGTGAGCACGAAGGATGGCTGCAGCCTGACCTAGTCCAGAGCTGTGGTGAGATGACACTGGGGTTTGGCTTTGATGCCCTTAGCCAGACCCCAATGTCAGAGATTTCATGGACTCACCAAAGGGTTGCATGGTCAGCATTTTAGCAAGACATAACTTTGGAGTTGGGGTTTTCAGGGGGTGAGGTGGGGGACACATTCAGAAGGGTCAGGAAAATACAAGCAGCTATCCGTCCTTTCTCATTTTCCAGATCCAGAAGCCAGGAAAAATAAGGCTCACCTCTTGGCCATGTGGCTGGTCGCCTGGAGAGGTGCAGATATGACTTAAGGCCATGGGACTCAGGTGTGGCCTCTGTAACCTCACCAGGGACCTACTGAAGCATCTATACAGCCTTTCGAGAGCTCCACACTTCTCATCCTGGTAGCCCATGTCCTAATTATGAAGCACGTTTGGGTTGGCTTGGGTTTGACTGTTCTTCTGAGACCGGTGAAGTGTGGTCTATGTAGTAGCACCGGGGGTTAGGACCCCTCAGACTCAGCATTCCAATCTACCCAACTGCACATGGCCTTAGAAGTGATAATTATCCAGGGCGGTGGTGGCGCACGCCTTTAATCCCAGCACGCGGGAGGCAGAGGCAGGCGGATCTCTCTGTGAGTTCGAGGCCAGCCTGGTCTACAAATCGAGTTCCAGGAAAGGTGCAAAGCTACACAGAGAAATCCTGTCTCGAAAAGCCA